GGACTTGGATTTCTGGGGTCACAGATCTTCAAAGGTCTTGAAGTAAACTTTATTTTAGCACTGCTTTTTGTTTGTTTGTTTGTTTTATTTGAGTATGACATGGAATTATTTTTCCTTTCATGCTTTTGGGGTTAAGGGACAGATGAGACAGGAGAAGATTATTACCTGAGTATAATCTCTTGTTACTCATTTAATCTATGTGGTTTGGGTACCCAGGTAACTGCAGCTAAATTCTCTTTGATTCAGACTGCCAGGCATTTTTCCCTCACCTTGGCAAAAACCTTTTTAGTATGATTTATTTTTATTCCCCAAGAATCATACTATTTAAGCTCTCCTGATAAGGCCTTACATGATTGCATGAACAACAGAGATCTTCTGGATATGATTCTAATGAATAAAGATAGACATTTTTGGGGGATCATGGAAAACTGCTAGTGGGTCTATATAATTCTTGGCAGATTTTGTTCAATATTGTGGTTTTTTTTTTTTTTAAGATTTATTTATTTATATGACAGACAGAGATCACAAGCAGGCAGAGAGGCAGGCAGAGAGAGAGGGGGAAGCAGGCTCCCAGCTGAGCAGAGAGCCCCATGCGGGGCTCAATCCCAGGACCCTGAGATCATAACCTGAGCCGAAGGCAGAGGCTTAACCCACTGAGCCACCCACGCGCTCCAGAAAGTATTTTTTTAAGATTCCTATTTGATCTCTGTTATAATGATATTATGCTTTTTTTTCCTTTAACTAAAACAGTGTTTCTTTTGTAACTTAAAAATATTTTTACTAAATCACCTCAGATACTTGACAAAACAAGGACCAAAGTATAAATAAATAAATTGCTGTATACTCAACTCCTCTATGTATTAAACTTCTGTTGGGTGTTTCATATATTAATTAATTTAAAAATCATATTTTAGTCCCTGGGAATTTGATATTAATTGCAATTTAAATGAACAGGTTTGGCCATGATTAAAAATTTCGTGGTAAGGGCACCTGGGTGGCTCAGTGGGTTAAGCCTCTGCCTTCGGCTCAGGTCATGATCTCAGGGTCCTGGGATCGAGCCCCGCGTCGGGCTCTCTGCTCAGCAGGGAGCCTGCTTCCTCCTCTCTCTGCCTGCTTTGTGATCTCTCTCTGTCAAATAAATAAATAAAATCTTTAAAAAAAAAAAAAAAGATTTTACAAAAATTTATTTGACAGAGATCACAAGTAGTCAGAGAGGTAGGCAGGGGAGTAGGGAAAGCAGGCTCCCCGCTAAGCGGAGAGCCGGATGCGGGGCTCGAACCCAGGACCCTGAGATAGTGACCTGAGCCCAAGGCAGAGGCTTAAACCCACTGAGCCACCCAGGTGCCCTACTGTCATCCGTTTCTTTCACATAAATTTTATAGGACCCTGTATTAGTTTTCTGTTAATGTATTACCACAAACTTTGTGGTTTAAAACATCAAAAATTTTTTATCCTGTAGTTCTGTAGGTCAAATCTCTCATGGATCTCACTGGGGTAAAATCAAGATTTCAGCAGGGCTTCCTTCCTCTCTAGAAGCTCTAGGGGAAAATGTTTCTTCTCCATTCCTAATTTTGAGAGGCTACCCACATTCCTGAGCTTGTGGCCCCCTTCCTTCATCTTCAAAGCTAGGAATGGCAGATTCCCTTTCACACTCAAATTTCTTCTGTCTTTTCCCATCTCTTTCAGATGTAGGTGGGAAGTTTCTCTGCTTTCAAGGACTTGTGTGATTAGATGGGCCGCCTGGATTCTGCATCTCAAAGTCTTTGGCCCTAAGCACATCTGCAAAGCCTTTTTTTTTTTTTAGAGATTTTATTTATTTATTTGTCAGGGACAGAGGGAGAGAGAGCGAGCGAGCACAGGCAGACAGAGAGGCAGGTAGAGGCAGAGGGAGAGCAGGTTCCCTGCCGAGCAAGGAGCCTGATGTGGGACTCGATGCCAGGATGCTGGGATCATGACCTGAGCCGAAGGCAGCTGCTTAACCAACTGAGCCACCCAGGCGTCCCTCCGCAAAGCCTTTTTTGCCAAGTAGATATAACATCCTTGGAAAGCCGTTATTTTACCTACAACAGGACTCAAACCTTTTTCTAGAAATACTACTTAACTGATTTAAAACTCTCTGGATAAAAGATTATAGGTGTGATTTGAAATAGTGTTGAGAAAATACATCATCTCTAGCTCTTTTTTTTTTTTTCTGTCTTCTTAGGTTGAAATTCTTATCTGCTCTTTTATCTTACCTGTTGAATGGATTCCTAGATATTTAGTAAACACCTTGTTAGCTTTTGTTATATACCAGACCACTCAAGAACTCTTATCATTGCCCACCTTCTGTGGGTCAGCTGATCTAAGCCCGGTTAGTGTGGGTGTCTTGTAGGACTTGGCTGGGCTTGCTGCATGTCTCTGAGTCTGGCATCACTAGTGAATTATCCTGTCTAGCCTGGGGCTCTGTTGTTTCTCAACTGTTTCTCAACTCAACTGTTTCAGTATCTCTTATTCTCCTGCCTTGCGGTGGCACAAGCATGTTCTTATGGAAATGGCAGAAATACAAGCATGCAAGTGGAAATATGAAGCTTCTTATCCGCCTAAGCTTAGGGCAGGGGAACTGTCACTTTTGCTTTATTATATTGGCCAAACTAGTCACATGACCAGAGTGCTAAAAATATGCTCTACCCCTTTAAATGGGAGGAGCTGCAAAGTCACTCAGCAGAGGCTTTGAATGAAGAAAGGGGATCAAGATTGGGTCAGTGATGCCGCCAGCCCCACACTCGTATTGCCCCACACTGAACTCCTCTCTGAATACCTCCCTCACAAGAAACCTGTTTTGCCTTCTTTATTTTTGGTCTCAATGATACTATGCTATATCTGGTTACCCAAGCCAGAAACACAGGACATGTAGTATAAAAATTGTCTTCTTTTTTCATCTTTGTTTTTCTGCACTATTTATGAATATCTAATGTCTCATCTTCTCCAGCCTATTACCATCACTGTTCTGGAGGCTGTCCTTTCTCCCTGAGAAGAAAAGGTGGGGTTGGTCTTTATGTCGTCTCCGGTCCAGCTTCCCTCTACTCTGTCTCTTAACTGTGGCTGGAATACTCTACGGGAAATACAGGTGTCACTCCTGTTTCGTGGCTTCTCACTGCCTCCAGTGAAAGCCTTTTATGATGTAGGTTCTCCAGCCCCATCTTCTGATGTTTCTTGCCTTCTGTTTTGCCCTGTAGTTCAGGAGTCAGCAAAATACGTCCAGTGGGCCAGAAAATCTGTTCTACCATTTATTTTTGTATAGCTCATGAACATGGTTCTTATATTTTTAAGTGATTGGACAAAAAGAGAAAAAACAGTATTTTGTGACATATGAAAATTATGAAATTTAAGCCATTTGTTCATAAATACAGTTTTTTTATGATAAAAAAACTATTATAAATAAAGTTTTATTGCAACATGGCTACACTCATTCATTTTCTAATGTCTATGGCTGCTTTCACATTACAGTGGCATAATTGAAATATTAAGAGACTCTAAAATATTTGCTGACTTGTCCCTTAGAGAAAAGTTTTGCTCCCGTCAGCTCTCATCAGTTAGCGTTTATAATAGCTCTCCTTATATTGTATTCTGTTTCATGACTCATTCCTTTTTTTTTTTTTTTAAAGATTTTTATTTATTTATTTGACAGAAATCACAAGTAGGCAGAGAGGCAGGCAGAGAGAGAGAGGGGGAAGCGGGCTCCCAGCTGAGCAGAGAGCCCGATGCGGGGCTCGATCCCAGGACCCTGAGATCATGACCTGAGCTGACATTTATTATGTCGTTTCTTTGCCAGGCTAGCTCTCCTTTTTAAGATAATAGCTTTGTTGAGATACACTATACATACCATACAATTCACCCATTTAAAGTGTACAATTCAATGGTTTTTAGTATATTCATACTTTTGCCACCATCACGGTGTCATTTTTAGAATATTTTTGTTAACTTCCCCTAAAACTTCATGCCCTTTGGCAGTTATACCCCGTTTTTCTACCTTCCTGTCCCAGCCTTAGACAATCACTAAATCTACTTTCAGTTTCTGTGGATTTACCCATTCTTGATGTCTCATACAAATGGAACCATAAAATATGTGGTCTTTTGTGACTGGCTTCTTTCACTGGCATAATGTTTTCAAAGTTTATACTTATTGTAGCTTGTATCAGTGCTTCATTCCTTTTCACTGCTGATTAGTATTTAAGGTGTGGATGTATCACATTTTTGTATCTGTTCATCTAGGTTATTGGACATTTGGGTTGTTTTCAGTTTTTGACTATTATGAGTAATGCTGCACAATGAACATCTGTGTACATGTTTTCACTGGTCATATGTTTTTGTCTCGCTTGGGTATGTACTTGGGCTAACTGTTCCTTATCCTTCAAGAATTGATATTAGAAGGTCATCTCCTCCAGAATATATCCCTAACTTCCTCAACTGGATTTTTCTACGGCTCTGATGACATTCTGTCAAAGTACTTACCCATTGTATTGAAATCTGTTTGCATGTCTGTCTCCTGTTTCTCTAAATTTTTGGAAAGCAGCATCAGTGTGTTATCCAACTTTGCATCAACTGCGAACAGTATAAAAGTTCACTTAATATTTGTTCAACGAGAAACATTGTAAAGCAGTCTGTGGTTTTGAATTAAAATAAACTTAAAAAAATAAACCTTATCTTTTATTTTTTCTGCTTTCTATACAGTGGCTCTTTATTTTTTATTTTTGTAAAGATTTTATTTATTTATTTGAGAGAGACCAAGATAGCGACAGAGATAGCCAGAGAAAGCATGAGTGGGGAGGGGAGGGAGAAGCAGGCTCCCAGCTGAGCAGGGAGCCTAATGCAGGGCCTGATCTCAGGACCCTAAGATCATGACCTGAGCTGAAAGGAGATGCTTAACTGAGTCACCCAGGTACCCCTATATTGTCTTTAAAAAATTTTTTTTCTTAGAATATGTGTTGAGATAACTGATCTTGAATTTGTCTTTTTTTAAGGCCTGCAAAGAAAACGAAAAAAAGTGTGAAAGGCAAAGCATTAGAAGAGAAAAAAGATGAGATTGAAAAAATAAAGTCATACTCCTTTATGGAAGGTGAACCTGAGGATGATGTCTACTTAAAGCGCTTGTATCCAAGGCAGATATATGAGGTGGAGAAAGCTATTCAGTTACTTAAGAAATTTCAAATTCTAGACTTTACTAATCCAAAACAAGGTGTTTATCTTGATTTGACACTGGATATGGCACTGGAGAAGAAGGTATGTAGAGTCAACTAAAATAAATTTATTTGTGAGGAGGGGCTGTATGAATTGCTGTTTCTTAATTTTTAAAGTTTCTTGTTTCCTATAATAATTTTTGGGAAATGTTACACTCTTTCTAGACTATGGGATGAAAAATTTTGTTTTTATTTTCCAAATATAAAATTATGTTCAACATATTCTGCAGAGTCGATGAACACTTATCTCCTACTCACCTGAAAATCACTGGTATAAATTGAGCAAAAGTGGTGTTAAAATTAATTGAGGTATTACTGTAACTTTGAAAAATGACTTAAGCTGCCTGGGTGTCCTGTTCCTTTTCTGTAAATGAGGGTTTGAAATCAGAGTATGTTCCTTAGAGTCCTGCGTTGAGACTAAGTTTGCCTGAGTAGGGTACCAAGCCCCTCACTCTTGCTTCAACTAAAATTTTTCTGCTTTATCTCTTTATATGCAGTTCCCTGGATGACTTTTGTTTATAAAACTCTAAAAGTAGTAAAAATACTGAATTAGAGTTGAGTTCCAGTACAACGCTTAATTTTGCCTCATTTAAGAGATCTAATTTTCGTGGAAATGGCATTTCAGTTTTTATTCCGAGGATGTCTTTTTTTGGGTCAAACTAGAAGGTACAGATTTTTGAATACAATTTAACAGCCTTAGCAACAACACTAGTTGGACACTTGGAAGGAGGTGGTGTAGTGTAGTGCTTACGAGCGGGGCCTCTGGAGTCAGATTACAGTACAGGCCAGAATCCTTGTTCTTTGACTTTGGGTTTCTGGTTTAACCTTTTCAGATCTATTTTTAACACCTCTTTGTAAAGAGAGATAAAATGCTTAGTTCAGTTTTGAGGCTCTCCAGATGGGGATGCTACCAGAACAGAAAGACCTTCCACTGTGGGTGAAAGCTCCCAAAGACTTGAAAGATCCTGAGGTGTTGCAGGTCCAGATGCACCTCTCAGAAGCTCTGTTTGGCCCACGTGGATCGAATCCGGTACATTAAGCAAGTGAGCAAAGTCGTGCTCGAGCTAAAGATTCTGGAACCCTCGGACCTCATGGAGGTCGTGGTTTATGACTCTTACTCGTGCAAGTCCAGGGCAAGGTGCGTGCTGCAGTCCATGGCTGCATGGCGCCGTCAGCAGCAGGAAGGAGGGATGCTCAAACTTGAGGATGCTGTGAAAGCCCTAGAGCTTGGTCCTTGGATGAAGTGGGGCCGGTTTGTAACCAGCTCACCTGCAATCAGGTTTAAAGAGGAAACTGTGTCTCTACAGCGGGACACAGCTGGCATGGATGAGGTCTGGCAAGGAAAAACCAGCTGATGTTTGGGTCTCTGCTTTCGTCTCTGAGTCCTGATGTGGCTTTCCCTGCCAGGTTTGCTAATTAGAGAATAACATTTTTTAAAAATGCTCAGTTCATACAGTTTTTAAGAGGATTAAATGAGATAATGCATGTAAAGGACTCGGTAAATGTTTAATGATCACAGCCAGCATTTACAGGAAACTTTCTGTGTACCCACCACAATGCTAAGTGCTTTTCATTCATTTTCTCATTTAATCCTATAATAACCTCAAAAGAGGAAGCTGAGACGGAGAAACTGAAGTAACTTGTTCAAGGTCACAAAATAAGAGGTGGAGTTAGGTTTTGAATCAAGGTCTATCTTATTTCTTAAGTTCTTATTTCTTAGAAGCAGTTTATACAAGCCATGCTGTAATTTTATTTTATAACACAGTGTTACTGTTGGTTCTTTTATTTTAAAAATGTTGTAAGTACCCAAGATGATCACTTTCGCAGTTAACCATTGATATACTGTTGACCCCTGAATAACAGGTTTGAACTGTGAGGATCCACTTACATGCAGAGTTTTTTTTGTTTTTTTTTTTTAAAGATTTTATTTATTTATTTGACAGATAGAGATCACAGGTAGGCAGAGAGGCAGGCAGAGAGAGAGAGGAGGAAGCAGGTTCCCCGCCGAGCAGAGGGTCCAATGAGGGGCTTGATCCCAGGACCCTGAGATCATGACCCGAGCTGAAGGCAGAGGCTTTAACCCACTGAGCCACCCAGGCGCCCCACATGCAGAGTTTTTTGATAAAGACAGTACACTACTATAAATGTGTTTTCCTTATTTTCTTAATAACATTTTCTTTTCTCTAGCCTTTGTCAAAAGAATATAGTATCTGATACATACAGCATACCAAATATGTGTTGGTTGACTGTTTATGTTATTGATAAGGCTTTTGTTCAGTAATAGGGTATTAGTAGTCAAGTTTTGGGGGAGTTAGAAGTTATATGCAGCTTTTCCACTGTGCTGGGGGTAGTGCCCCAACACCTGAGTTCTTTGGCTGTTAACTGTGGCTCATAATGAAGAGTTGTAGGACCACAAGCTTCATTTCATAAGTGAAAGCTGCTTGTAAACTATTAACATTGAAAGGATACTGTTGTCTTCCTAAGACATTTTTTGTTTTTGTTAGAGTGCTTATACAGCAAGCCAATATTCCCCCAGGGGATGCTTTAATTGTGATTGCTTGCTAATGAAAAATTTACTGAAACTAGTTGTGACATGTTAATGGCAAAGGAATGCCAGTCAATAAAATTGAGTTGCATGTCTGATGTCAAGTGTGCTTAAGAGTTTGTTTCTTTTTGTCTGAAAATAAATCCTCAGGAGGTTATCTCTACTCAAAATAAAGTTTTGCTAAAAATATAACCTTTCAATCTGTTTTAATTAGGGAACAACCCTGCCTTTTTTCTAGACCTTAAAATTTGCACTGAGACTGTGATGAGCCACAGTGCTCGACAGTTCCTCGACTAGAAAACTGAACAAAGACGTTCTGAGGCCCTGTAGCATCTCCGTCCATATTTGGATGCCTAAATGCATGCCATATATGTTTTGGATTTTCCAACTGACTTCCTAGGTATCTCTGAAAGTGGTGGGCAGTCCATGTTGTTTCAAAATAGACCCACTCAGAAGAGCCTTTCAGGCTTGGCGTTCTCTCTTAGGTTCAGGGTTAATAGAGACCTACTGAGCATATTAGCTGGATATTTTCTGTCATCCATTATGCACAGCTGTGCTCATGTCCTCCTTGATGGTATCCAAAAAAAATGACATGTTCTTTTGAATTTAATTTAAGGTAGTGAATATTGATTGATATCTACCTTGTAGAAAGCATTATCCTGGGTGCTGGGGAAGATACGGGTGTGCAAACACATCACTTACCACATGACAGATTGTGTTGAATGGTGTAGAGATAGAAGCCAAGTGCTGTGGCACTATGGAGGTGGGGAGAGAGATGCAGATTTTCAATATGATTTCTTACAAAAGAAATATAGTCTCTTATGCTTTAAATTGTAATCAGTGAATAGTTCTAGACTAGAGGACATATGGTAGAATTAAAACATTGAAAACAAAGCATATCAGTTTTGTTTTTTATAGAGGTGAGGTATATAGAAAAGATGAATGAATTCTTCCATTGTTGTGTATTTAGAAAAAAGTGGAGCCGTTTGCCAGTGTTCTTCGTTTTCCATACCCATTCGTTTCAGAAATCAATAAAGTTGCTGTATTTACAGGGGTGAGTAACCTTTGTCAACTTTTCGTATCATTTTTTTTTACATATCTTGTAGACTATTCATGTAGTCTTTTTCCATTTGAAGCAGTTAGATGACTTACTTGAGTTATGTCATTTGAGAAGGAGCTAAACCAGAATATTAATTTCATCATTATTAGTCTGCTACATTATGTTTCTCACAAGAAACTGAAAAAAAAAAAAAGAATTTGTCCTGCTGGCTCTTGCTTCCTACTGAAAATATTCTCAAACAAAAACAATGAAAAATTTTTTTTTAAAGATTTTTATTTATTTGACAGAGAGAGGAAGAGCATGCATGTACGTACGCACGTAGACACAAAAGCAGGGGGAGCGGTGGCAGCCGGAGAGGGAGAAGCAGGCTCCCCGCTGAGCAGGGAGCCCCCATGTGGGGCTCGATCCCAGGACCCTGAGATCATGACCTGAGTTGAAGACAGAGGTTTAAACCACTGAGCCACCCAGGTGCCCAATAAAATTATTTTAAAGCAATGGGCCCAGTTAGTGCTGTGAAGACCTAGAAACCACACTTAAAAACACCTGGTCTGGAAAACCAGGAAAGTTGAGGCTGTAACAAATAGAGTCATATGGCTCTTTATCGGTCTTTTTGTATTACACACATTTGTAATGTATTTATGAATTTGTTTTGTAGAACGTTTTGATTTTTCTGTATCTGCTTCGCTTTCAAGGAAGAGATTATTTACTTTTTTTCCCCCAGACAAATGGAGAATATAGCTGTGGGAAACCTGTAAAACTTGAGTGACTTAAGGGAGTGATAACATTTCACAGTAAAACCAAATGGCATAAATGGAACATGGAAAATAACTAATACTGTATATTTTTCTTTTGAATTTTCAGACAACTGGCTAAATTTTTTTTGAAGTGTTTAATTTTAGTTAGTTACCATACAGTATTATATTAGTTTCAGGTGTACAATATAGTTTTGATTCTATAATTTCTTAAGTAACTTTCCTCTTTGGTTTGATAAGATGTCTTCATTTAAGTTAGCAAAACTAAATATGCTTTAATCGTTTACTTTTGGAAGATGATGTATTGAAGGCATTGAAGAGTTTGAGCCACGTCTTAGGTTCCTAATATGTCATTTCAAACGTATTTCCTCATGTGTTACTCAAGAAATGCCTTAGTCACCTACAAAGTAAACTTGTTCAGGAGACAGTATCTCTGATGTATTGGAATGAGAAATGATGGATTTTCACTTAAAAGTAAAAACTATAATTTTTGCTTTGAACTGTGATACTATTTCTTACAAAATACTTGAAATCAGACTGAATTTGTTTAAAGATTGATGTTCAAACTATTGTATTTTTGTAGAATGCATCCGAGATTAAAATAGCAGAAGAACATGGAGCTGCGTTTGCAGGAGGAATTAATCTGATTCAGAAGGTACAGTGTTGTCTTCATGTTCAGTAGTTATAGAAATTGCTGTCTTTGCCATCCATTGATTTAGTTCATGTAGAACCTAACCGCTATGCCTATATCTTTTGACAGATGGTTATAAAGTTTTGGAAAACAGGGAAAAAAATTTCCTTTTGAGTCTCAAAATCAAGCTAAGAAAAAAACTAACCAGTCCGATATTAATTATGCTTGATTTATTTCATGATTTTTTTTAACCCTTGCTTCCTATATGTTTGTGAGAGTTTTTGTAGGTAGACTGGAAAGGGCAATATGACTCTTTGTGGTTTTGAATATGAGATTTAAGATGAAGTTTAAAAGGTAGAACTCATGAGTATCACTGTTCATGTTTTGAAGATCAAATATTTGTTTTGCCTTCGAGTGAAAAATGTGATTAACTTTATAGATCACAAAGGATAGTATCTGACCTCCGTAGTAATACAATACTTCTGATTACTCTTAACTTTTACTTTCCAGCGACTTCAGAGTGGTATAGGCTCAGCATGAGGCAATGAGAGGTTATGGAAATTGCGTTGAGAAAGTAACAAAGAATTTGTGGAGCTTGTTTGCAACCAGATTGATGTTTTTTAGTTTTTTTGTTTTTTTGTTTTTTTGTTTTTTTTTAAAGATTTTATTTATTTATTTGTCAGAGAGAGAGAGGGAGAGAGAGTGAGCACAGGCAGACAGAATGGCAGGCAGAGGCAGAGGGAGAAGCAGGCTCCCCTCCAAGCAAGGAGCCCGATGTGGGACTCGATCCCAGGACGCTGGGATCATGACCTGAGCCGAAGGCAGCTGCTTAACCTTAACTGAGCCACCCAGGCGTCCCTGTTTTGTTTTGTTTTTTAAGAGGTGAGAAGAAGAGGCATGGCTGTTGAATTTTGAACGTTATTTTTAAAAATACAAGAGATTTTCCTTAATAGTGTCTAAAATCTTCTAAATTTAATTGAAGGTTCTAGAAAACGGGGCACCTGGGTGGCTCAGTAGGTTAAGCGTCTCGGCTCAGGTCATGATCTTAGGGCCCTGGAACGGAGTCCCGGATCAAGCTCCCTGCTCAGCGGGGAGTGTGCTTGGGCCCCCCCTCACCCCCCAAAATGCTCTCTCTCTTTCTCTTTCTCTCTCTGTTTTCAAATAAACTCTTAAAAGAAAAAAAAAAGAAAAAAGTTATAGAAAACCTTTTTGTTTTTAGAACAGGAGAAAGTGATTTGAAAATTTCTCTTTGTTCCGTATCCAGATTTTGATTTGGGGAAAGTTTGAACTAGGCCTTCCTTTGGGATGTACAAGAGTGCTTGTAGTTTGTTTTTTTCCACCCCAGTACTACTCTAAATGTGGTGGGGATTCTGGATTTTTAAGGAGAGTCTCCAAAATGGCTTTTGGGAGTAGCACTAATGGAAAATACAAAGAGATTATGCTTTCGTTGAGACTCTGGGTCAAAGTCTGAGGGTGGTACCATGTATCATAAACTTTAATAAAATTATTAAAATTCTTTTAATTTTTAAAAAATAAGCAATACCACATATTCTTTGGAATTAGAGAAAATAGAGCTTAGTTTCCAGAGCCCAGAGAACTAACTCATCTTATTAAGTTAGTGTACCACCTTCCATCTGTTTTTTTTTTCCTGAAAGCATAAGAGTGTCTTGTAGAACTGTCAAAACAACAATAGAGTTTAAATGAAGTTAAATGTGAAGCAAGAAATTACTTCTCAAAAAAAAAAAAATGGTAAGGGAGCAGGATGTGTTCTGTAGAATTAAGTTTATTAAATAAAACATACTTGAAAAAGTAACCCAAATAAGAAAACCAAGCACATTTTGAAATTATTTGGTAAATAGAATGTTACAGGTACAGAATTTCTCTTTAAGGGTACCAGTGGTGATTGATGACTAGAGAGAAAATGCCAGCTGTATAAGGCATCACTAGCATAATCTTTCAGAGCTCATCCATGTTATTTTTTTATTTTTATTTTTTAGGGTTTTTTTAATTTATTTTTTTTTTAACTGGATAGAGAGAGACAGAGAGTGTTCACGTGAACAGGGCGAGGGACAGAGGGAGAGGGAGAATCCTCAATCAGAGTCTGCCCTGAGCTCAAGACCTGAGCCAGAACCAAGAGTCAGCTGCCCAACCGACTGAGCCATCCAGTGCCCCTCGCCCATGTTATTTTTAGAAGCTATTCAGATTATGAGATAAACTCAAGACAGTTTTGGTAAATAGTAGCATCATGGCTGTAATTATTTTTTTACATGTTTCTGTATTTTTTAGTTAAGTTAAATGTGGTTTTACTTAGCACTTACAAAATGTAAATGTAGGATAAATTTACTGAACTAATAGTCATTTCCTAAGTAAGGCCTTTAATAAATTCATTTTGTTTCATAACTTCATTTTTACTTGTTTCTAAAGCATGGTTTTCATTTATATCATTTTATATTCTTCCAAGAGGTGATCTTAAGGTTAACGATAACATAACTTTTAAACATAATTTTAAATTTAAAGGAGTATGTCATAAAATCCATATTGAAAGTTCTTAGAGTAGAAATTTCACATGTAATTCTTTGATGTTTCAAAATTGCCTCTGTTTTCATATTTCTATGAATAAGACCCCTGGGTTCTGGAACCACATTGCATGTGTTTGAAATTTGGGTCTGCTCTTTAAAAGTGCACAGACTGACTAATCTGCCCTCAGCCCTCAGTTTCCTATATGGTCAATATTGGTACTGGCCTCATAGGGTTATTGTAAGGACTGGCTCATTTGACATGTTAGCAGATGCTATGTACATGTGGTAAGTGCTCATCTAATGCAAGTTGTTATTGTTAAGGGGACCATAGTAAGTTATTCAGGGAGTAAAGAATTTGGAAAAATAAGAATAATAACAGGAAGGTAAAATTCCAGAATCAGTGCTTAATTTTGCCATGGTACAAGATTTTAGGGTTCACTGTGTAAGGCTAAACCACGTCTTTGAATGACATATTATGATAATACTGTGTGCAAAAAGAACCACTGGTGAAATACTTGTTGTCCAGGCAGTATTTTTCTAAGAAGTTGCTTTTTTGTAATCAACTAAATGTTTTTGTAATCATTTTGTGAGCAACTACATGTTTAAATGGAATATACTATAGTAGTCTAATAATTATTTCGGATGTTTGCCTTACTTAATTAAAACTGTCTTTTAAAAATTGAGTATTATTCCTTTTGCTATTAAAATGGAATTAGAGTGTGGATAAATAAATTATAAAAGAATTTGTCTTTGACCATCCCACGTCTCTTTTATTTTTAGTTATTGGAGGCAAATAGAATTTTAGTTTCAGTTCTTTGTGAAAATAATTATAGATTAGTTCTCTTGATGCTCTGAATTTAGGAAAGCAGTGTGGTTGCTAGTGATTTGGTTGCTAGTGATTTGAGTGTTATTAATTTTACATATGATATATTGCAAAATTTTCAGCATTGTGTCTTCAGTTTTAATGGACAGATGAATTCAACTTTGTAGAAGTATATGAGCCATGTGCATATCAGTGCTATCTTCTAGTTTATTACGCTTTTGCCTAACATAACCCCACAGAAGAATTAAACCTAGTAAATGGTTTTTGTTTTGTTTTGTGTTGTTTAAAAGGATGTGGCTATTTTTAAAAGAGAACATCAGAAAATGTTTTGGTTCTAATGGTTTTCATAATTGGTAAATGTGTTTGTAGGATCTTTGAAGGAAAGAATTGTGCTTAATGTCTTTTTTCTAAATTATAAGGGAAATTACTACATTATACTTAATTTTCAGAAGGATAAACCTTTTCATATAATCTAAGGTTTAATCTTTTCTCCCGATTTTCAGATTTTGGATGATGAAATTCAATCAGACTTTTATGTAGCTGTTCCAGAAATAATGCCCGAGCTTAATCCATTAAAGAAAAAGCTGAAAAAAAGATTTCCAAAACTAACTCGAAGTAAGGGAGAATTCTTTTTATTATTTTAATACGCTGTCAACAACTTTCTGATATGTATGTTTAGTTATAAAACAAAACTGCGAATATATATATAGAGAGTAAATATGTTCTGGTATTTGAATTTCATGTTGTGTTAAGAACACGTGGATTTGATTTTTTTTTCCCTTTGGCATTAATATTGGTAATCTAATCATTTGAAAACCTACTTTATAATACCAGTTCTTTAAATTTAGGCCATACTTAGGTTTGAAATTAATGATACTTATTACCCCCTAGGTATGTTACCATACTATTTTATGCTTCTTTATTAATATGATATGTATGCTTATTTATGCCAGCATTCAACGTACGTATATTTATATATTATAATACACATGTATATGCATATATATACGTACATGTATAAATGCTTACTGTGTACATGGCTCTGTAGATACTTCCCTTAAAGAACTTTCCCATTATGTATATTTCCCCCTTACAGAATCTGGTAGGAAGTAATGTTGCTATATAAATAGCCGTAGTGTGAAGTAGTATTTGATAAATTCACAGGATGCCAAAGGTGTTTGGTAGAGGAGGAATTTACACATTGTTGGGGAAATCAGAGAAGGCATGCCGAAGGAGAAAACATTTAAAATACAACTTGAGGGGCACCTGGCTGGCTCAGTTGGTGGAGCATAGGACTCTTGACCTCAGGCTTGTGAGTTCAAGCCCTATGATGGGTATAGAGATTACGTAAAAATAAAAATAAAGTCTTTGAAATAAGTCAAGCAGAGGAGTCAGTTATCATATGGTTTCACTTGTGGAGCATAAGGAATAACACGGAGGACATGGGGAGAAGGAGAGGAGAAGGGAGTTGGGGGAAATCGGAGGGGGAGATGAACCATGAGAGACTGTGGACTCTGAGAAACAAATAGGGTTTTGAAGGGGCGGGAGGTGGGAGGTTGGGTGAGCCTGGTGGTGGGTGTTATGGAGGGCACGTATTGCATGGAGCACTGGGTGTGGTGCATAAACGATGAAATCTGGTACACTGAAAATAAATTTAAAAAATAAATTAAGAAAAAATAAAATAAAATCTTAAAAAAAGAAATTAAGCTGTAACTTGAAAAGGGCAGCTGCCTGGCTCAGTCGGTAGAGCATGTGACTCTCGATCTCAGAGTTTTGAATTGAAGCCCCACGTTGGGTGTAGAGCCTCCTTATAAAATAAACAAACATAAAAACTGTACCTTGAATAATTGGATGGGTGGATTAAGGGTGATATTATTTTAGATAGAAGGAATTTATTAATAGTATACATTGAAGTAAGTCAGATATTACAGGCTATATACAAAAAATTATCAGTTACTTCTCTTTGGCTTGTAGTGAATGGTTACTCCTATGCTGAATCAAAGCAAATAGTGGTAATCATATTGGAAGATTGATACCATATTGAGAAGGCTCTTTTTTTTTTTTGAAGATTTTATTTATTTATTTGACAGAGAGATAGAGATCACAAGTAGGTAGAGCAGCAGGCAGAGGGAGACAGAGAAGCAGCCTCCCCGCTCAGTGGGAAGCCTGATGTGGGGCTCGATCCCAAGACCTTGGGATCATGACCTGAGCCGAAGGCAGCCACTTTACTGACTGAGCCACCCAGGCATCCCAAGAAGGATCTTGAATAAGATCTTAAGAAGCTTGGACTTTTATTCCCCTTTTTAGCAGGAATCTCTTAGAAGTTTTAAAAGTGGGGAGTTCCTTAGAGCTTTAATCTGCAGAGAATTTGTAAGATGTATTGGCCTGAATCAAAACTAGAAGTTGGGAGAACAGTTTAAGTGCAATTGCCAGGGACTAATAAAGGTAATATTTAAACTAAAGTCCTCATAATGAGACTGTAGTAAGGAGATAAATGTCAAAGACACTGGATCTTTGTGCTAACAATTGGGAATGGATAGGTTGTGGGGAGGAAAGGGGGGAGTCATATGATGCTGAGATTTTGAAGCCTAGGGATCTCCTAAAAAGTTGATATTAATGGAAATGGAATAGATTTGGGAGGAAAGATAAGTTCATTTGCTGACATAGTTTGTTTTGGGTGTGCTGGATTTGGGGTAGATTTTGTAGTATAAACAGAGCAAGTATTTCAAAATTGTTTTAGTAGATTTGTGTTCACATTTTAATTCAAGTTGAACTAATTCATCATACTTTATGGCCATAATACTTAACCTGAATTATAGATTGTGTTCTATACTTTAAGCAAATTCAAAGATCCTCTCCGATTCTTTTATTGTTGTAGAATTTTGTTTGTTTATTTTTGGTAACCTGCATTGAAGAACACATCCTTTTAGATATCTGACTGTGGTTTGGTGCTTTCTATTAGGGATATCCATTATGAGGGTATTTGTTGTCCTGGAATCAAACTTACATTCTTTCCCAAGTAAAACCTGAAACTGAACATTATTTTAAAATTTAAACCAGAATTACAGTTGAGTTTGATGAAAATATTTCTCATAATTTTTTTGTTTCCAGTTAAATTCAAGCTCACCAAAACCAAACAATACTAAATATAGTCAATTAAAAGTGAAACTGAATACCAGATATCAGTATCCAGTCATCTCCTTGGTTTGCATGGTGACGTGATTTTTGACAGAAGTTAACTTTGTCACCTTTGCTACTTTTTCATTCTCTAAGTAATCCTTTTGGTCTCTATTTTCTTTATTCGTTAACCTTGAATTTTTTTATTACCGTTTTCATCATAGAACTTGAGACTATTGTTTTTTCACCAGGAAGGTTTTCAAATAATTTATTTATTTCAAATAAGAAAAGTGACCCTTTAAATTGTTTATTTTTTTAAATTGACTTGACTTTATTTGTACTTTCATAATGAGTTGTAGCTTCTGTATACCATGGTCAAGTTTCCTAGGTATATAGTGTCTGCACACAACCCCTCCACCCCCAGTCCATTCGCTTTAACAAAGCATCTTGAAAAAATAGACCTTTCTCCTCCTCGAACATTGTCTTTTCACCACCACCCCTTTCCCGCCCCAGGATCTGTTTAACAGCACTGGCAAAACATTTGTGTTCTTTAAACACGAAGACAAACGATTAACCTGTCAAAAATGTTAAAACAGAACACACCAGATGTGCGTTAGAACAAATGAGGCTTGTATTACGCATTTTCAGAGCTTATTCCGATTTTTGTTCAAGAACATTTAATTCCCCTTATATCCAACAAAAGACTTTAGGGTAAAATAGAAACTACGTTTTGAGCAAATGGATGAAATTAAAAAACAAACAAACAGGCCCCTGCAGCTGAGCTCATTAGTTTCCCATTTTGTCTTACATTTTGTTTTACTAATGGGAGTGGGTGTAACTGTCTTGGCTGGATTGAGTGTGCACATTTTGCAGCATGTTTAATGCTGCATTTTTATTCACTTTATTTTAATTGCTTACGTAACTGTAGGCAAGTTCTCTATTTTTCAAATGCATATTTGTCTGCTTTTCCTAGTATTATTTCTTTTTTATTTAAAAAAAAAAGGCATTTCTTGGAAGAAAATGGGCTTCATTTTGCTTGTCAACTAGCTTTTTTTCTTCCAATGTAAGTGCCCCCTGAAATTTCTTCATCTCTAATATAGATATGTTTTATTGATAAATTAGATTTTAAGTTGCTAATCTGTCTTTTAGCACTTACTAAACAAAAAAATAGGAGTATGAAGAATATCTTGACTTAAGGGAATTCATTTTTTATTACACATATTAACCCATGGGTGGGTATTATGGCATATACGGAGAAAGTTAAATTCTTTTAAACCATGCTAAATTATTGGTGGGTTGATAGAAAAGGGACGTGATTAGGAATATAGACTCACTAATGTGTATTCCTCTGAATGCGTAGAATTGAGCATCAGTGCTGCAGTTGGAGTATTGTTGAAAGGATGTGGTCGCAGCCTGATCCGAAGAGTGTTCCCATCTGCTGAGTAGGACACCGCTTTCTGCGTGGAAGTTGGTGTTGTATCATATTTGAGACTAGTGGACGTGAACTTATTGAAACCTAATGTGAAATAGTTTTAATTCATAGATTGGCATGGCGTATGTAAGAGGATTGCTTGCATTATTGAAATAATTAGAACTCTTTGGTTATATGAAGAAAAATACTAAGACATAGAGAATTTTTGCACAGTAATGAATTTGAAATTTTTCCAAATTTTCCCCCTCATGTATTAGTTTACAAGTTGTGTATGAAAGACTCCAATGATGATTATAATTATAATTATTAAAGATGAATTATTGACATATTACAGCTGGTTCTATTACTCTTTCCCTTATTTCCTTTACTCTAGCTACATGGCCTCTGTGCCCTTCCTCACACACACTGAGTGTTCTCCCTTCTCTCATCTTTGGACTCATTGTCCCATCTGTCTATGATGCTCTTTGATTGTTGGCTCGGTTCACTTCCTCATTCAAATATCACCCAGATAGAGAGGCCTTCCATATAAATCGTTACTCCCCCACGCTCCCTTATCACTGTATTTTTCATTATTGTGGTTTTTAATATTTTTTAGGACTTAACACTCTTAACATCTTACTCTGGCAACCACCATGTTGTTCTCAGTATTTATAGGTCATTTTTGCCTTTTTGTTTGTTCATTTGTTTTGTTTTTTAGATTACATACATAAGTGAAATCATATGGTATTTTCCTCTCTCTACCTGACTTACTTCACTTAGCATAGTACCCCCTGGGTCCATCCATGTTGTCACAAATGGTGAGGTGTCATACTTGTTTATGGCTAAGTAACATTCCATTTACCTATACCACACCTTGTTTATCCATTCATCTATTGGTGGACGCGTGGGTTGCTTCTGTCTCTTGGCTGTTGCAAGTAATGCTACAGTAAACATAGGGGTGCATGTATACATTTTTTTGAATAGTGTGTTCATTTTCTTTGGGTAGATACCCGGCAGGGGAATTACTGGATTGTACATATTTCTGTCTTTAAGGTTTTGAGGAACCTCCATACTGTCGTACACACTG